GCTCGTGTTGGGGCTGCTTGCCTGGACGGTCAGCACTAACGGCGTCCGGTGCGGGGCGCTCGTGGCTATAGCCAATGCACTAATGTAATGTACGTGGTGCATGGGCAGTACTTTAAGTACTGTAGAGGACAAGATACTGTTATCGAGGCGACCATCGAACAAGATATATTCATCATTTTGCTTTACACTAAATCCGCATTGGTCTGGATTAATTTTGGGGATTTCTAAATTTTTTAAAAATAAAATTCTAAATAAGGGACACTCCGTTTTGGTTTACACTACCACCAGTTTGGATTGGCAAAGGTGTAGTGAGCAACTACAAAGTGCGCATATCGTTTTGACCATTAGTTTGATACAAAAATCACTATACTTGGAGAGAAATCGAAAATTTCGATTGCGCATATAACGTTAGTTTTGGTGTGCACTGTATGTACTGTTAACAGTGCACAAATTTATTTTATTTTTCGGAAATGCTACAGTCCATGCGTCAAATCCGCTTATTTTCCATGTAATACTCCATGTAATGTCCATGATGTAAAATATTTTCATTCGGTAATTTATAAAAACAACCCAGTCGTTGAGTGCAATTATTGTCCAACTCTCATCCGTGTATTGTCCACGATGTGATCTATGTAGTTAATACCGGTACAATACTGTATACCGGTAGTTGTACCAATCACACCAGCCTTTCATTTGCTTTTCAAACCCAAACTCGCCCCCCTTCGAGCATTGCCGCCGCCGCCGCTCCGTTACCTGCACGCCGCAGCCTACGTCACGAGATCAACCGTTGCTGCAATCGCCGGCCATGTCGCTCAGTCTACCCGCTTCCGCGACGTCTGAGGTGCGTTATCTTGCTGTTTGTGGTCTCTGTGAACGTGTTTCTAACCGTGCGTTATCTATTTGTAAATACAGGGTGGATCGTCCGACTCCTCTTCAGATATCGACACCACGGCTTCCGCAGCCTCCGGCGCGGCTGCAAACTCGGACGACGCCTCGCCTGACACGGACGATTTCAAGCGTCCATGTATTGTCCAGGTCGTAGACTCTCCCTCCCTTGTGGAGGGCCCCGCAGACGTGACGTATCCGAGCTGGTCGGCGTGGAATGAGTATTTGAAGGCTTACTCGGTAAAGTCCCGCCAGGTCATCCGCATCCAGTCAACGCTTAGTTGCGTATTGAGAAACAAGCGGCTGGGTCAAACAGCGGCAGCAAAGCAGGGAATGGATGTTCCGTACGTACCAGAGACGTGGGGTGCTTACCAACGCACATACATCTGCACACATGGCTGGCCAGAAAAAGACAGGAGCAGCGGATTGCGAACCAAGCACTTCGTCCGAGGATGCGGTTGTCCATTTCGATTTGTGGTGCAGCTCGTGCAAGTTGACGGCTTATGCTGCCTTCGCGTGAAGAACGGTGTGTACCAGCACAACCATGCGGTGGGGACAGCGCAGTTCAAGACGTACGCGGAGAACCGTAGGTTGGACGACACGGACACGAAGGATGCTGTGGACAGCATGGTGATGTACGGTAGAAAGCGCGCACGCATCTATGAGTATCTTCAGGGGAGAGGCGAGAACCTCGTCAAGAAGGATGTGGACAACATTGTGCAACGTGTTAAAGCAGAGATAAGAGGAGGGTTGAATGACGACGACGCTTGCGCCGCAACTCTCGCGGAATTCGCAGCTATTGACGGTAACGTAGTCACGGTGGACGAGACTGATGCGGGACACTCTGGTGTGATCAGTATGACTTCCAGACATATGCGCGACATGGTTACTAGGTTTCCTGAGCTTTTGCTTGTGGACTGTACACACAAAACGAATCGGTAAGTCCTCCCATGTATTGTGCAATTATTTGTCCATGTATTGTCCATGCTTATTTTAATGTCATGCCCATGTATTGTGCGATTCTTGTCCATGTAATGTGCATTAGATACAACTACCAGCTTTGTACCTTCATGATGATAGACGACAATGGGCGTGGGCAGCCTGTACAACAGTCTTTGCTCGAACGAAACGCCGATTGGCAGATGTCCCGAGCGCTGGATCATCTATTTCGGATTGACGATAAGATTGGCGACAAGGTTCAAGTTATAATGGTCGACAAAGATCTGAATGAGATCCGCGTGTTGCGTCGGTACTTCCCTAAGTCGCGCGTGTTGATTTGCGTCTTTCACGTCATCAAATATCTCCGCACAGCGTCCAGGAAGCCAGAATATGGTAAACTTTCGTCGGACGATCACGACGCCATCGATGCATTAGTCCACAACATGGTATATGCCTTAAGTTCAGAGATCTACGAGACCAATTGGACCTCCATGAAGGCACTTTGCACTAGGACTGGATATATGGCATTTTACAACTACATGGATGAAAACTGGAACACTTGTACGGAGATGTGGGTCATGTACCAACGCTCACGGTTGGCACATTTGCGCGTCCACACGAACAACCATTTAGAGAATTGGTTTGGGCATTTTAAGGACGGGGTAAACTCCAACATGACCATGACGGACACCGTGAAGGCCCTTGTGGGTGCTGATGCCAGGACTTCCAGTGAATACGTGTTCGACAAGACTAGGATCGGGTTACGTGTCAACCGCAACTACGACGAGGAGATGTGCCAAGTTTTGCGCTTTACGACGCATTTCGTAGCAATACACGTGGAGAAGGAGTACGTAATGGCATGTTCGAAGGTCGACAAGTTCAATTTCGACTTAAAGTCAAATCCAGGCTTCGTGGAGGTGACGGGTAAACACAAGACGCATGCTGTGGATTTGAAAACGTGGAGCTGCACTTGCTCGTTTGCTTCTGCAATGCGTCTGCCTTGTCAACACGCGATCGCGTTTCGGAAGTGGAGTAACGCCCCAGGAAGCGTAATACCGCTGAGTTGCATCGATGAAAGGTGGGTTAACTCACAATTTATCCACGTATAAGCCGTGAGTTGTCCATGTAATATCCAATATTGATGTTGTACTGAGGGTCTGACATGTCATTCATTTAGATGGTTACATCCTGCTGAACAACCGATGACTCCGCGGCCTTTTGTGCTTAATGAGTTTAAACCAGGGGAGGCGAAACACAAGGTGCTTGACGCTAATGTTAAGTACAAGGAGGCAGTCAGCGCGTTCCAGGCTATATGCAGTGAGCTAGCCGATATCTCTGATGACGACGAGTACCGTGAGCATTTAGACTTCGTCGTGCAACAATGAAGGAACATTAGGCAGCGCAAACGTGTAAAGGTTGAAAAAACGAAGGTTCCAGTCACGAGAGAAGAAACAGAAACAGATGAAGTGACCTCTCCAGTGACAACCAGCCGAAATCGAACCGGAACCAAGCCCGAAATGGAGCAGCTTGCGCTTGAGACCACTCCTGATGACAACGAAGAGAAAAATACTGATAGTGGATTGCGCATCCGTCTGAACCCCAAAGCTGCGAAGTCTGGTAGGCCCCGGTTGAACAGAAAGGAGAGAGAAGCAGACGACAAGAAGAAACGAGCGTTGTTTAACGAGTCAGAAGCCCATAGAAGATGTCTTGGAGAGGTGACATTAATACAACTTGCGCGCAGTCTTCAACTTGAGAAGCCTCCACTTCAAGACACTCTACGTCGTGTTCTGCCACTCCAAACCAAGTACAACAACGCGGGTAGCAAGAAACCCAAGTACACTAGAGAGAGTGCGCCTGTGCTGAATGAAAACGCGTTCTACCTACTTCCACCCAAACTGTTGGACAAGTGCGTTGCCGTGCTGCCTGTGAGCAACACCAATGAAACAGCCATCGATGTACTCACCCAGAGTCAAACTACACAAAAAGACGAAGAAACATCTACAATACCTGGACAAATCATGGACAGCAACGGACAAAACCCGGAGATCGAGTGTGTCTACATCGCGGGTATCGGAACATTTTCACGCGAACAGATTGAGGCCATGGCATACTTAGCAAACGTGAAGCGTTCGTGTGATGATGGAATGGCGTTTACCAAATGGTTAACACAGGATGCAGCCAGCGCCATACCAGCAGCACAACAATCGACACTTCAGAGCATGGCAGAGGCCATTGCTCGCGCCTATCCCCAAGATACCATCCCAATTGACGGCAACGATTACCACTACGCGATGCTGTACCGTCTCAAGCCGCCCCAATGGGCTAATGATGCGCTGATTTTGGCTTTTTGCGCGAGATTGTACAGGACGGGCACCGGTGTTCGCATCGTCGGTGTCGAGGCAGCCTTGGCTTCAAAGAAGAAGAAATCTATGGTAAAAAAATGAAGACAAAGGTTCAGGAACTACTCACTGAAGCGGATGTACTGCTCATTCCTGTAAATTTTGGGAACATGCATTGGTGTGCAATGATCGTGGATGGCAAGCAGAACAATGTCCTGTACTACGACTCAATGAACCTGAAGACGTACAAGGACGTACTGGACCGCATGTCGTGGGATCTGGCTACTACGCTCAGCGACGACTTGAAAGTTGTGTCCGTCAATGGACCGATCCAGACAGACGGATACAACTGCGGATTCTACGTAATGTTGAGGTTTTGGCGATATGTAGACAAGAGTGTGTCGCTGGACGTAGCTCCGATTGGTCTAACGCTGTTACGCTTCCGCATCCTTCACTTCGTGCTTCACGGTAGCAAGCCATAATGCAACTAATACAATCTCATTTCTATTGAAACTGGAATCGACCCGCCTAATGTTCATGCGTATGGTTGACCTCCTGACTTCTGTATACCGGTATGTACGAGAGATGTCAGAGGACTTTCGTTTGCGAAGGTCTAACAACTTCCATTCACTATGGATTTTAAAAACAGTGGTAAGTAATTTATTTCGACACATGGACATTACATGGAGTATTACATGGAAAATAAACTGAGTCGACGCATATCGGCCAAGAAAATTCTTATTCCAGAAACTAAAGTTCTATTTTACCTACCTAACAGAATACCTTACCATGTTAGAAAAGGTATCGAATTCATTAGGTCTTGGACTACGTGCTCTTGACTGGCATCAATACTGTAGTCATGACCAAGCTGTGCGACCTACTGGGCTCGCGCCCGGAAGTGATGTACGAGTGTATGTACACCAAGCACAAGACGCAGAAGCGCAAGATCTGGCAGGATGGATTCGTGGCGCTGGCCACCTCGCGGAGACTCGTCGTGTACGCGGACGACGACGGGAAGGCAGGAAAAGCTGTTGACGAGGCCAAGTTGACTCCTACAGATTGGGATCGCAAGGACGAAGAGTACTTCGAGACGTCCAAGTAGGAAACTTGCAGTCGTACTTACTCCGAGGTGATGCTCCTGCTAACATGGAGCTCCTCTCTGTTTTAACACAGATTTCTAGTAGAGATCGTCAACGAGACCCCCATCGGCTCCACCACGTCGGTACAGACAGCCAACTCAACCGTAGCGAGTGTCAACAGCTTCGAGTCAGCTAGTTCAATACAACAGTCAACTGGCAATGGAGCTAAAGCACGTCCGGGACCTCCTGCTGGTCTGGGAGGCAGACCGCGTTTCTCGAACTCCAAGTTCCGCACCCCGCTCGGTCGTGGCCCGTCGCGGTTGGCCACATCTGGCGCTCCGAGTCGAGTTGGACACCTGTACGGTCGCAGCACACCTGTCAGTGCTCCAATTCCAACTGTAGCGCCGTCCAGCCCAACGTTCGACTTCGCTCGCAAGCCCACGTCCGAGTGGGAATACGTGCCAAACGCAGTCAGCCGTACACGTACGTTCTCCCTCACTCTCCTTTTTCTCAACTAGTCATGCGTGCTAACTGTATACAGCGTCGTCTGTGATGATCACTGGAACAGCCGACGAGGTGCTCGCCCTGCTGGAAAAGTGAGACACGCTGCGAATCCATGTCGTCGATAATAGAACACAAGCAAGTAACACCATTAATTTATCCATCACCTAAGTACTACTACATGTAGCATTTTAGTATCTTGCTAGACAAGTACACTGAGCGACAGCCAGCTAAGTAGCAGCGTCGTCCGCCTTGTTGGGGTCCGCCACACGCACGTTCTCCCACGAGTCCGATGTGCCCATAAGTGCGTTCGAGTACATGCCGCGGTCATCCTGCTGGATCTCGATGTAGCCTTTTCTCCGTGTGTAGTCACGCAGCAACTTCATAAGCGCAGTACCGAAGAGCAGCGCCAACACACACGCGCACACATCGTACACGACGTTCAGCGTGTCCGAGTAGCTGCTGTCTGTAGCCATCGTCGCACTTGCCATCTGCAGCGCTGCCGGCCGGAGTAAACCTGCCTCAACTCTCTGTTGTCGCATGGTGAGACGGCACCGCAGCACCAGCAGATGGGAGCTTTGCCACTGCGCCTCGTGCTAGCGCGTGAGCCTTTCTGCACGACCGTAGCAAATTGAGTTTGACTGACTCATTTTGCGACAACATTTTCGATATGGCTACATGTAGCCATCTCAACGACGTTGAGTTGTAGACTAACGTTATGATGTTTCTCTTCCCGGTTACGTGGGTCTCTCTGCCTTGGAGGACCAGCTCAACTAACTACTGGACCAGCTGGACTAGAGTGAATCTAGACTGCTAGATTAATACTAGTATCCCTTCCTACCGACTTGTTGTCCTTTCAAAAAAAAAGCATTTTATTCGTCGTAGATGATGAACGTGGAGTTGCCGATATCTCGACGACGCGAGGGCTGGCCAAGTTCGCCGCGACGGATCTCGTCCGGGTTGTTCCTGGAGTGTAGGATGCAACTCAAACAGACCTTGACGCGCGTGGACTCTGAATCCACGAGCACCGGCATCTTACGACAACAGCGACCACAGCTGGCTTCACCGCAGAGACGGCAACTGTGGCGCTTGCGAAGAAAGGAGAAGGCGTGTTGACACACGTTGCAGTTCCGTTGCTGCTTGTCCTTATCTCCACTCGTGAAGGAGCGATGTTTGCGGTTCATTTCCCGGTTATTTTCCGGCAATAGATGGCTCCCAATGCTGGTTTTCTCAGCATGAGCACGCAAGTTGGCAAGACGCACGCCTGCCTGCTCTAGCCAGTGCGATCTTTTACTTGACGAACATTTGCTCTTCGGGTCGAGATGCGATGCGAATGTCACTTCCACGACGCCAGAGGTATCTGTCTCCACCACCGTGTACACCTCACAGCGGATCGAAGCTCGGACGTACTTGGGTGAGGGTCGCAGCTCCGGAACCCGAATGGATTCAATGATTCGGTACCCAATAAGTTTCCCGTCGTTTGTGGTGCTCACGTCTGTGTAGTCCAAGTAGACGAGATCCAGCGGTGTCGTGCCGAATGGGTTCTTTATGGCGTGATACTTGAGTCCGCAGTGGAAATAGCGCGAGTTGGTGGGTTGAGCACAGAGCGCTAACACTTTAGCCTCGATCACTTGGTCTGCACCCAGAATAGTCTTTTGTGCATCTGCAAATGCCTCTGTGCTCTCTCCTGCCGCCAAAATGGACATGACGTTCTTCACCGACGCGTTCACGTGTGTCACGCCGCGCACTTCGCACCGAGAACGCTTGGACTTGTACAACTGCACGCCGTTCTTGACCTTTGCCGCTTCCCAATTTGACCCTACAACGTCGCATTCGTCCGCTGGTGAGATGTTGCTCGGCTCGCGAATATCATCCGTCGGGTCGTCGGATGCAAAGGCTAGAGCGATACTATGTCTCCGCTTGATGTAGCTGAAGCATCCAGCCTTTTGCGCAGCACTGAGTAGCGTCGAGTCTTCCGGGGCCTGTCGACTATCCCGACCGTCATAGGACACTGCAGACCTGCATCGAGCTCGCTCTGTGGAGCGAGGTCCATTGGACAAGTAGCTGTCCTCCACGACGTCTCCGTCCTCGTCGTCATCGCTGTCTTCCACTACACGTTCGCCCTTCTGGTTGCTCAGTATACCGCCGAAAATCGGCGTGGCGCCGAGTCGCTGTTGCAGACCTGTCCAGAGTTCCTGTCGTTTGCCCACGTGCTTGTGGATATCGGAGCTCCTGGCCACAGTGCCGCTGGTTCTGTACGACGTCCGCTGCATCACCTCACTATCGAGAGAGTTTATCTAAATAAACTCAAAGGTCTTTGCTGCTCTGTGTCCGTTGGAGTTGTCACTAGTCGACAAAAAGAATCACAACGGCTCCGACTCCTTGCTGACTCTAAGATCAATGGAAGAAGAGAGGAAGTCTGCGTTCGACCTCTATCGAGCGTTTTGAGTTATGAAGCCTCTCGGGCTAAATGCGGTCGGGTAATCGCAAATGTCGCGCAGGACCTTGAGGCGGTCTGGCTGGCTTGAACCAGCTCAAGGATCGGGTCCGGGTACGCTAGCACCATCTGCGATGAGCGGCGGAGGCTTCGAGGTTTTCGGCTTGCGTTCCTTGATACCGGGCTCTGCTACGCAGCACGACAGCTGGTGGTGGTTCTTGGCTTGGAGCTTGTTCTTTCGCGGCACTACGACGACCAAAGAACCGGCAGCTCAACTCGCTACGCCGAAATTCCGACAAAAGGATGCACCACCATTTTTGAAGTTTGGTTTGCATGACTTCAAAGGCGGACTACAGACTATTGAAACGAGAACAACGAGCGAGCCCTTTGTGAATTTAAATCTTGCATGACTCATGCCGGAATATTAAGCAACAGTGTACAGCACGACGTTTCCGATTGGTGAGTCCTCGCGCCTGACCTTCGCTCGGTCGCCGTAGAATCCATTCGGCTAACGCGTCCAAACCGTGTAAATCGATGCCCGCTGATTGCCATACAATTCCAAGGACAGAAACTATGAAGCGATGTGGTCGATTGTGGCTGTTGTCGAGTTCTTCTTCAGGCAAAGCCATTCCATGTTCCTGTTGCTCATGAGCTGGGGGCGAGGCATGTCGCGTTGATTATTGCCGCGATATAATAGTCGAGTGCTGGTCGCAGTGAGGTGCCGCACCGAAGCGGGTTACGGTATAATAGAGCTTCATTGGAGTCGAAACACTTTTTGTTTTAACTTACTATAAAGTATCTAAATGGGCGCTCATGTTTCGCCAAATAGCGCGTGTTTGTTGGTGCATCGAAGGTTACGCAGAAGTCCTGGACTTAACAACGGCATGATCTCGTTAACTTGAACATCAAGACGGACGTTGAGACCAGGAGCGTTGCCGTCCGAGCCACAACTCGAACGCACTTCGAATTCCTACCTTCCGCATCAGCTTGTGCAGATTTTTTGGCAAATTTGCCGACGTCAAATATTTCCATAATGTGGTTAGCCGAACTCCCACTCCCAATTGCCGCTGTTGCCGAGGAAAAAAATCTCTAAAGCTGAGCGACACAGGCACGGAACCCGATAAATATATTTATTGCCAATTACTGTTTATTGTTTCTATCAATAATTTATTTACGAAAAATGCTTCAGCAAAATATGTATTTACGAAGTTGGTGTACGACGACCCAGCTTTTATTTTCCCGGACAACAACTACCTACAGTTTGTGGTTGGTTTGGAGAACACATCAACAAAACCTACTCTCTTCTTTCACCACCGTGGATGCTTGCATTTAGGCGGCTTCACCCAGGCTTGGTAGTTTATTTCACAAATAATTTACGTTTGCAATGTCCCCGCTCCAATTATTTATTTGCTGAGCTCTTAAAAGTTGCCGCGCGTTATGTATTTCTCGATGTCCATTGAAATTGATATAAATTATATTTTCGGGTTCCCTGGACACAGGCCTCAGACTTGGTGGATGGAGCTGAAGTGATCTCTCCAAGCCATCTGCAACTCTTCCGTCCAAGGGTTCAAGTGGTTCGACCAAAGGCGTCAAGCGTGTGGCCGGCTGCAACTAAGGGCTTTGTAGGGAAAAGAGCAAGCGAACGACTGGCTGATGCATGGCAAAAAGCGGTGGATTTTCATCGTTATCAATAAATTTTAACAACGTTACAGCACGTAATCGCCTGGTGGTGTCGACGACAACATGGCGTCACTTACTCGTCGTCCTCGTCGTCGTCCTCTCCTTCCTCCTCGAAGGTGTCGAGAGGCACGGAGAACAGACGCATAATGGGTTTGTTCGGGTCCTTCATGATCACGTACTTGCCCTCGGGCTGCTCGAGCAGCAGCTCCGACAGCATCTTGATGATGCCCCACGTGTTGTTCTGGTTGAGCGCGATCTGCGTCGCGAACGTGGTCGGAATGTACGACTGCATACCCAGCACCACGTGCGAGTACGGGTCCTTAAAGTTCGAGCGAGACACGTAGCCCAGCTTCATCTCATCAACGCCGCTCAGCAGGGCCTGCGCTGTCCACTTGGCCAGTTTGCTCGAGTTGTTCTTGAGCTCATTCGCCAGGATCGCACCACGCTGTAAAAAATAATAAGAAGTTAGTAATTTGAAGTTTACAACATACAGATACCGTATAGCAAACGTGGGGTGTGGATCTCTCCTAAGTATCAAGCTTTCCTCATCAAGAGTGTAGGAATAGCGTATATATAAAAGTTGTGGGCATTCATTGAGCCCCACCCCACCATAGATACACAATAGTTAGCAGCCAGTTCAAACTCTCATCCTTTTCAGCTCTCCTCATCAAGTGAGTGTAGGATTAGCGATTCTGAAAAATAGTGTCAATCATCGAGTACAGGCCACTGGTAGCAATACACACAGGCACTTCACATGTAGCTGAGACTTTCATACCATACTTTTCTCCTCACCAATAGTGTAGGAATAGCGTATAAAATGTGAACATTCATCAAGTCCGGCACACAGAGCCACCCACATACAGATATAGACACATACATATACACAATTCGACAAAATGTCGGGGCGACGCACCTGGGAGTCGATTTTCTTGCGCCACTCGATAGATCCAGGGAACTTGGGGTCGTACTCGTTAAGTGCGAATGTAGACACGTACTGCTGCTTGCCCTTTTTGAGTGCCACACCCTGCACCTCACAACGTGCCACCAAATTGAGTCCTCCTCCAAGATCGAACTTTCGGTAGCGGTAGGCGCCACTAGCAGGCTGGGCGTCTTCACTGGCGAACGGGTTGGGTTCGTCGAGCTTCTTGTGGAAAGCTCCGTTGCCAGACTTGAGCACCTGCTGTGACAGATTCTGGTTGATCATCGTAGCTTCGAGACTGAGACGGTCCGGGTGGTTCATGTGCTCCGGGTCGTCCTGGTTGGGCGGGTCAGAGGCGTTCTCATTGACTGTAAGCAGGTCGAAGTTGGACTCGTCGCGCTTGTCGAAGAACACCATGTTGTTCACGCGCTGAGCCACAATATCCCAAGGAAAGACCGAGCGTGTGCAGGCCATAAGGTGCGCCAAGATGGCGTCTGTAGCGAACACTGTGGCTTCTCCCTGTTGGGCGAGGTCCTCGATAACAGGATCATCGGTCGTGGTGACGTAGTAGAAGTCGCGGTCGTCGTAGCGGTGCAAGCGCGTGTTGGAGCGGCTTGTGATACGGTCGAAAGAGGCGTCGAACTCACGCAGCTCGCCGCACCATTTCAGGTCCTCAGATTTGGGAATATTAGCCTGCAGCTTGGTAAGTTGCTGCATCTCGAACTGGTCCACGAGGTTCCAGCTCGCCTGCACCTTAACAGACGCAGCACGGTCGACGTGCACTTCGTCGCGGCGACGGAAGGTAACAGCGCGACGTGCGTTGCTCAGGCGGTCCCAGCGCTTATTCTGCTTCTGCATACCCTTCATACGCAGCTGCGCAGACGACGTGGTGGGGCCGTTCGGGTCAGGTTTGTCATTGTACGAACCGCGTCCACCACGTCCGCCGCGTCCACCGCGACCTCCGAAGCGCTGCTGGTTCCATGTGGGACGCAGACGGTCCTCTGTCTTGGGACGCGTGCCCTTGGAAGTGTCGACCAGTTGGAACGTGGCGTCCTCCTTCGAGTCATGCTTGTATTGGAACTCGGCGTTCACCCCCGATGGGTCACGAGTGTATCGGGATCCGCGCGGCGCGTAGTTGGACACGAAGTCGGCGGCTTTGCCCAGCTTGTCGCCCTTGTTGAAGGGCGCATAGGGGACGTTGAGGAACTGCTCCGGCAGAGCCGTGGGGCCCCAACCATTGGCATTGACGTCCACACTCGGTGTCTCGTACGAAGCCATTGTGCGAATGATTCAGGAGAGAGTGTCAGCCACCAATCAAAACATTGGCTACTGCCACATTGTCCCATTAGGATCTGTATTCCGTGTATTTATCACCGTTTCGCGTTTTGTACATAAAAACATGTCGAATTACATGTACCGCTGCACGAAGTCCTGTTGAAGTGGACTTCAACATTATAGTTGCCTTTTCTTACTCGACGGCTTGGACTTGCTCAGGCACGAGGGGCGTCGCTAGCGGTCTATCACTGTAGTCAACGTCCTGTAGGTACCATTCGACTCTCGCAGCAATTTTGTCGTGAGCCCACTGCAGTTGTAGCGAGTCCCGTTCGCTCGGATAGTACATGTCAGCGCAGTGAGCTGTTCCCTCGATGAACACAGCTTCAGCCGAGTACGAGTGCAGTATTGTCGAGTTCTGCACTGCCAGCGCATGCCACGGGTCGATAGTTCCGCTCGGGAAAGTCACCCGCTCCACTTCGATACCGAGTGAGCCATAGTCACGATTGGCGCCAGCGACGTCTGGAGCCACATCCATTTGATACACACGCTTACAGATCTCAGTCCCGACGTTTGCTTCCGTGACAGCTCGCAGCCCGTGGAATGGAGAGCGTACACTCGTCGTGGTCTGGAAGTAGCCGAACTCGTTGCACGTCTGGTAAACCCACTGTCGCGCGCTGCTCTTCCCGTCGAATTGGTCGCGACTCAGCACCTCAACAGTGCCGTTCGCTGCGCCTTGGAATTTGGAGTCAAGGCAGTCACCAACGCGCGTCTTGTTGATGAATGACGCCAGCTTCTCCACTGCGTCTCCGGGCTTTGCAAAGTGCTCACAGACCTCACTCAACGTCATGACTCCTTCGTGGATTCCATTGTACTGTGCGATATCCTGGAACGCTCCCATCACTGACGACTCGAAGACTGAGTCGTCAAACTCGTTCGTCATCGGGTAGCATGGCTTGAACAGCTCGGCAACTTTATCGCGCCCTTTTTGTCCTTCATCCATGAGATGTCCTAGCTGTGTAATGGCCTTTTCCACTTCATGGTAGCATTCCCCGCCTCCAAAGTACCGCAAGCCATCACCAACAACCTCCATGTACTCAAAGAAATCCGTTTTCGCTTGTACCGGCGCCGAGCTCGCCACGGTTCCAGCAAAAAGTGCGGGATATTTCAGCTTGACCCACGCTGCCAGATTACCCGGATAACTCCCGCCAAACGCGACCCATTTCTCATCCGTCAGGCCGTATTTGTCCGTCACAAACGAGTGAAAATGAGCCAGATCTGCTAAGGCCTGTTCACTGGAGAGATACGCCAGATTGGGTAGACTCATGTCCTCGGTCGGGTAGGATTTACCGTAGAATCGGTGTTCCAGAGCCAATAGCAGAGCGCGATGCTGTTCTGCCAGATAGTAAACGAAGGTGCGGTTGGTAATGGCTTTGGGTCCCAGTGGTCCCTCGCCTCCGATGTAGAGAAAAACAGGGAAGCCACGACCTCCCCAGAATTCCTCGTTCGCCTGGTATCTCTGCTTCCACTTCGAGCGCTTGGACACGGGAGCGAAGTGATCCAAGATAGCGTCGGTGAAGTAGTCCTCTTGAATGGGAAGCTTAACTGGATCGTCCTCAGACTGATGCACGTCGAACTGCACGAAATACTCGTGACCACGGAAGTCCTGCAGTCGCTGGAGATTGTGCGCACGTTCCTCTGAAGTTTCGGCGTGGATGAGCGACAGCCTGACGGTGGCTATAGCGCACACTGCGAGCAGACCACGTACCAACGTCATGGCTTCGCTCTAGAGTAGACTACGCTTGTGTAGCTGCGTTGATACGGCGATCGGGGAACGATCGAGCTTAGAGTGGATCTAGACTGCTCGAAGTGGATCCAGGGCACCTCCATTACATAAGTAGGTAGATATCTTTACATAAGTAGGTGCATCAGCTTACGACTACCGTCTTACTCCGCATATAAGGCATATGAGCAGAGGTTAAAAGTACCGGCGCTTTTTTTGTTTTTACTGCCACCAGTAGTTTTTTATGTTTATAATAGTTACTGTTTACACAATAAGTTAGAGCGTTTTTGCTCACGTATTTTACGTGAAAATCGAGCAACGCCGTAAACGTAAAAGGGCCACCAGGGTCAGGGCAAGATGAACAGATGGAGAAATCCTTTCGTCAAGTACGCTATTTCCAAATAACGTATCAGACGAAACCCTCATCAAGATGAAAGTCTTCAAACTATATATTCAGTCATCATGATATTTCATTAAATATTGCAGGTACTATTCGATTAAACGGGCAATTTGTAAGTCCTTAAAATCAATCCCCACAGCGATTGTCACGAGCCATTTCCACTTGCGTCAGATCAAGGCAGCAACATTCCGCAGAGCGCACAGGGAGACATTAGTCGTGGGCGACATGGAGTATCCTGAAGCTGGGTATGGCACCCAGCTAGCTGGAGGACGCAGCTTGCGCAATGAGATGCACCTCGCAGTCCAAGAAACGTTTCAAGGTCTCCCTGCTCGTTTGGTGTTGAGACCACAAGTTCAAGAGACACAAAACGCGCAGCTACGTGGCTGTGAGCAACGCGAAGGCGCTGATTCACATAATATAGGTGGAATGGAGGACCACTACGACTATTCTTACGGACTGGACGATGATTTCCCCATGGATCATAACAATTTGGACGGTCTGGGCTCGCAACAGGATGATGCTGGCGCTCTTCCCGGTGGAGAAAATAACTTTGTGGCTTTACTGCTTGGTGAGAACGATAACCGAGATGATATTCCCAGTGAAAGTGACAGTGGTAGCGACAACAGTGCTGCCTCTGGTGGGGAAGTGCTAACTAGCGCGTTCAAAGACCACATTCGAGAGTCGGCCAGCAAAAGGTTACGTCAAACGCCAAAAAACAGCATCGATCTGTGGGTACTTCATCGGAGACGTCGTCGTTACCGGCGACTGGGGATGCTTTTTCGAGCTGTAGCGTGTGCACTAGCTATTCAGATGCGACAGATTGAGAAGGAAATGCTGCGCTCAAGTATTTCTGATGTTCGCTTCGACATAAACCAAATGTCGGAGAGAAACTGCATCGACCGGTTTCGATTTGGCAAGACTCACCTTGCAATTTTGTTGTGGAAACTTCAACTACCAGCTTTCTTTTCGACTGAGGAGGGGTATCGTACTTCTGGTATTGAAGGCCTTTGTATTGTTCTGGAGAGGCTATCGTACCCGAGTCGCTGGAGAGAGCTCAAGGACCGGTATGGACGTCACGAAAGCAACTTGAGCTCAATTTTCTACTACGTCTGTGAGCATATCGCACGGCGATGCGCTCCGCTTCTTGATGGTGATTGGAATCGTATCAGTAGTCGACTGGAGGACTATACGGCTGCAGTCCGTGCAAAAGGAGGGGAACTTGGAAACGCTTTATCGACGGTACACTTCGTCGTATCTGCGGACCTTTGGATAGTGCTGAACAACAATCAATGTTCAACGGCCACAAGCGCTGCCACGGCATCAAATACCAGTCTGTCACTACGCCTGATGGGATGATTGGTTATCTATTTGGTCCTATTGAAGGTCGATTACATGATCTGACATTATTGGAGGCCTCGGGGCTAGAGAGCTTTCACGGCTACTTATTGTACGGTGATCCCGCCTACGGCCAGACGGATGTGTTCGCGTCTGCGTTTGATAGAGTCGGGGCTACCAGAGAGGAGTCAGTTGTGAATGCTTCGATGAGTCGCGTGCGTATAACAGTGGAATGGGGATTTGGACAGGTAATCAACGAGTGGGCGCTCCTCGACTTCAAAAGGAAGATGAACATTGGAAGTGTGGTGTAGTAAAACACACAAATACCGTCAGATGTGGATTCCTTACACAAACCACAACGAATCGCTGAGTTAGGTCGGCGGTTGTATGGCCTGCGCAGAGGGTGGTCCCCTCGCGGTCCGGCCCTTCCGGGACAGACGAGTGGCTCGCTTCCACTCGGCTCCGACCAACCAAGTCAGATCACTTCCGAGGCTCCGCCGAGTTTGGTTCGGCTGAGCTCGTTCACAACTCTGTGCCCTCCACCAATGGATGGACGACGGCGCGCGAGCGCTTTTACAGGTCACCGAGCGCAGAGGCTGCTCGGCTAGAAGTGTTACGGCACCCGGGCTATCCGACGTACCGGCCCGCTGAGTTTGCGGGGCTTTCATTCGCGCGTAGCGAGACTTTGTCCTACCCGGACCGACCTAATCTCTTGGCGCTACCAGTCAATACCCTACAAGCTATGCCTCTCGAGTATTGACGGCAGGCATAATCCAGCCCTATGCAGGGACTTACCGGAAAAGTGTACACGTGTCTTGGACTAGGAAAATTCTGCTCTGTTATCTTCTGGGAGCCCTTTCGGCTCCCCCTATTTAATCCTATGCTTCTCATACAAATATCTAGTGAAATGTAGTCGTTTCGAATCTCTACCGACCCTTCAGCTGAATTCCGGCGACCGTTGAGCTCAGCGGCTATCCGGATAGCATATCCGGACAGATCACCGAGTACTTACCGTGATCCTTTGCTCCTAAGCTCTGGGTTATCAGACCGAGCCGATTCTTGACCTAAAGTAGGTCGGCGTATGGTCGAATCTGGAAATCCCTACACCACAACTGCCCCGGTTATGATACGAGCCGAGCTGGTGAGTGTCTTAATCCTTCATTTGGTTCTCCCACCGTTGGTCCATACTCGGCTGATGACGTCTCGCGGCTCTCCACCACCTTCTTCGGTACGTTTGTTGCTTCCGCTGTCACTCCCCTGGCAGCTCCTTACTCCTCGCATGTTACTCCAGCACAACTCGCGGCGCCATCCTTCTTCTCCAACTCCTCGTCGAGGTGAAGGCGTGCCAGCTGAGTCGATTCCTCGACCCGTCGGTACTCGTGGGGTCAGCGACCGGCATATAGCTGGGTTGGTCGACCTGACAACTTCTCACGAGTCTGGCGCGGAGTCGGCGGGGTCTTCTCGCGTACGCCTTCCTGGTCCACCGAGCTTGCCGGGCGACACCACTTCTAACGCCACCAGTCAGCCAAGCTCGGCTGCTCCAGTGAGTCTTGACTCCCTCATGGCCAGAGTTAACGAACAAGGGTATGAGCGCCGAGAAGAATTGACCTTCTTGGCGAGGCTCATGGCTTACGGATTTACTCGTTCCATGGAGCCCTCCGATCCCGTGCAGCGGCGAGCGATCTTGCATGCTGCTTCCGCGGGGGAGCTGTTGGATATCTTGAAAGGCAACTACGCCGCTCTTGATAATCCACAGATCATTGGTGATCTCCGAGCTGACAATTAAGCTGTTCAGGAGGAGAACCGCGCACTGACTCGGCGACTGGACTCGCTTGCTCTCAGCAACGTCGACTTGTCAACTCAGCTCTCGGTGGCTCAACAGCAAGTGTCTCGATTAAGGGCTGCTGCCACGCAGTCGGCTAATCTCCTCGCGTCACTGCGAAAGGCTGTAGCTCTGAGTGAGGCAAAACTTGCTCGGGCCATCGCAGCTGAGCAGAGCAAGGTTGACGCTGCGTTGGGTCAGGCCCAGCTCCATCATCAGCTAGTCTTGGATCGAGACGCCGAGATCGACGTCCTTCTCCGATCCATTTCTGAGAGGGATGCAGCGTTCGTCACCCTTCAGGGCATTGCTTCCAAGCACTTCGAACAGCTGCAGGAGTCGGTGCGGTTGTACAGCTCCACCGGCACTCAACCTTTGCGGCACGCTCAGTCGGTGATCGCTGAGCAGCGGGCGGTGATCTTGCGACAGAAGCGGCTCATCCGTCGGAATGGCATTATTCCGATGCACGACCCTCACATGGCTGCTGCTGCTGGCGGTGGATTGCAGGCTCCTAGACTTAATCCGTCCGACCTTCTCCTTAACGCTCGGCTGTGTCGTGTCTTGGAGTCTCGCTTCCCTAAGGTTCTCAACATCCCAGCTGGTGAAACTCGGCGGTTGGAGTTGATTGTCCATCCTCGCCGAGATGCTCCAGTAGCGAGTTCCGTCATCGGTCCTAGTGTGGCTCCCTCAGCTAGTCAAGCGTCTCCGGTGACTTCATTGGCAGACTCGGCGTAGGCTCCAGTCAGCTCAGCGGCGACTACGAGCCAGGCTGAGCCGACTGTTGCCCAGCTTCACCGTACGCCTTTGGCGATCTTGACTTCAACTCAGCGGCTTCGACGTTATGCCAACCCCAAGTCTCCCACAGCTGCAGGTCCTCGTCATCGTCCACCGGCGCCGCATCCGCCTCAACCGTACGCTTGTCCACTTCCCGGGGAGGATGGACACGAGGCTATCAGTGCTCTTTTGCACTCAAGTTCTCCTCAAGCTACTGTATCCGATGGAGGAAGGCCTCGCTCTGGAAAGTCCCGTCGTCGGACTCGGCGGAAGAAGGTTCGTCACCTTCAGCTGAGTTCTGCTACTCAGCCCGCTGTCTCTGCTCGCTCTGAAGACGACGATGACGCTTCGAGCGAAGCTGAATTCGAGTTTGAGTTGCCTGAGCCGCCCGCCGACACCGTTCCTGCGGTTGCTTCGACGACTTCGGTTGGTTCTTCGTCTTCTGGTCCTCCGGTGACTTCGTCAGTCGCGGCTACTCGCCCACCGCCGATATCTTCATCCGATGTCGTGGCTTCGCTGCCTGTCCCGGCTACGAGCGTTTGTGCCCCAGGCTCGACTTCGCCCATCTCCGCTGGGTTGCCCCAGTCGAGTGCACCACTCAGCGTCGTGCCAACGGTGGTTGGGCGCTCCCAGTCGTCTTCTGCCGATCCTCTCTCGTCTCATCTTCTCGTGGTCTGAGCGTATCCACCACGCCGACTGACCTAGTGACTCCGGCCGTGAGTGTCCTCAGACCGTCTCTCCCTGTGACCACGGCCGTGTTGACGTCCGCCCTATCCGGAGATCTGCTGCGACCTCCCGCACTGTGACTGTTCAGCTGCTTGAGGAACTCGACGCGTCTGACGACGAGGTGTTAGGGCCTGGTGATGGTTCCGCACCGTCCACCGGCTCGAAGAATCCTGCCGCTGGGTCGCTCTTGAATTCCATTTCCTTATCAAAGAACTCGGCTGGCAGTCCTTCAGGCTCCGACTCAGCGACCGCAGATGCTCGTCGTTTTGCCAAAGCGAGAAGCCTTCATGCGGCAATCTTCGGCTCTGACGACGAGATGAGTGATGAGTCCTTGCCGCCGAGTGATCGCCACTCCTCGCGGCCTTCATCGAAGGATTCTGGTGACGGGACGAGTTCTGCCTCTGCGCCGGCTTCGGGGAAGCAGCAGCATCGCAAACGTCGTGCCTCGTCGAGTCCTACCGGTCATCGGTCGAAGCGATCCAAGAAGCACAAGAAACACAAGAAGCATCACAAGACGCACCGACACCACAAGCATCGGCAGCTTCCGTCGACTCCTGATCCCGCTCCGGCTCAATCCATTCCGGCTGCTCCTTCGCCGAGTAGGCTCTCGGTTGTGTCGATTCTCTCTCAGCCGAGTTCGACTGCCTCATGTCCGGCTTTGGTCGCACTACCAAGCGCTCTTACACTCCCGCTGGCGACGTTACGGACTCGATCCTCGCAAGCGGTGTCCAGGGATTGTCGCTTGACTCTTCACATGGCTCAACTCCGCGAGGTACCATTTATGCATTTTGGCTCAGCCCGTTGTTGGAATGCATTATTGGATACACTGAGCGGAGGGGTGCAGATGGAGCTCGTAGGAGGCAAGAGTCGTGTGCCACCTACGCCGTGTTCTCTTGACGGCATTCGAGCTTTCATGGCCGTTTTCGATCCGAGCCATCCTTGTCAGCGTCTTCGGCGGATGCTCCCTGAGCTTCCTTTCTTCTTTTCTCCGTCGATACTGGAGGAAGCTCGGCGATGTTTGGCTTCTCAGACCCGACCTCGAACTTTGATGCAAGTTCTTGGAGATATGTGGGTGAAGCTTCGTGGTGACAGTCCCTTGGACTCGGCGGGGAGGCCCATCCAGACAGATGGCCAAACGACCCGTTACTTCGTAGCTCTCTATGAGCGTCGTCATTGGATCGTCGAGTCGAGTGTGTTGATGGGTCTCCATCCTGACGTCAACCCGGCTGCCACACCCGCTCAGCTTGCTGAGGTATATGAGCTGTGGCTGGTGTACAAGCGTGAACGCAAACGTCGTTGTGACACTCTGCGATCTTTGGTTGTCGCTATCTACGATCAGCTTTACTCGGCTGTCACTCAGAAACTCGGCGATGAACCTGCTCCTCTGGTGGACGCAGAGGTTTATTTCGACCCGTTCGTCCCCCATTATTCTCCCGTTAACCTTTCGTGGGTTCCCTCCGGGAGAGACTGGGTCCAATGTGCTCATGATGTGGATCTAGCCGAGCCCTGGCGAGCTTGGTGGCTAACTGACCCGGCGGTCCACCCGTATAACACCTGCTTCCGCGCTCGGAACGTGGACTTCTTGGTTTTCGCTCCGCGCGGTATGGATCCTCAGGTTGTTGACGACGCGATTGAAGAAGACTTCGATCTTGCCGAACAAGCGCCTCCTGCCTCTGCCCCGGGTGCTCCAACTCGGCTGAATCGTCAAGGCATCCACATTTTCACTGGGTCGTCAATCGGTGAGCTCGGCTTAGATGACGAGAGTGTGTCTAATGACGACTCGGCGGACGATGGGTTGGGCTCTCCTAATCTCCAAGGCGCGTCTCCGAGTATGTCTCTGTTCGGCAACCCACTCCCCAGTGGAGCGGATCCGCCTCAACCCACTTCAGCCGAGTCGCACCTGGTTCGGCGTCAGCTTCGTTGGCTAGCTCGGCGATGATACTTCTTGCCACGGCTGCGAATGTTGCATTTCCTTCCGCAGGTTCCCAAGGGATGACGTCTGCTACGACGCCACGCCCCCAATCGTCGAGTCCGCTGAGCTCTTCCCAGTTGTCTCCGTCGGGTTCAACTCACTTGGAGTCCGGATCGCCGACCTTTTAGTTTTTTTTCTTCTTTTGACTGGGCGTCCCGTAGGTATCGTTCAGGACTTCATTTCGTAATTATTCAGTATATGTAGTTTCGACACAGTAGTATTCCATCTCAACTCGGCCTGTGTCGTCCGCTGAGTTGGTGTAACCTTTGGTGCAATAGCTGTTAATCCTCATCTGCAACTTGCACCATTTGCAGACGGTTTTCGCGCTTCTTCTGTCGTAGATAGTCAAACAGGAGACCCCCACATGACAAATTCGACAGTGGTTCCCACGTAGGCTCATCGTAGCCGACCCACTTAACTTTAAACTTCCGTTGTGATCGTGACGTACTCGTGAATAATGGTAGCTCATCGTCGAGAATTGCTTCGACTTCATACTGGTTTGTACTTGTGTCTGGTTCCCAGCTGTCTTCAGGCAGTAATTCTTCGTCAAAGTAAAATCGCTGAGTCTCTTCGAGGTCGGCGACTAGCCTCGTCATTAGTCTTCCGCCGAGTTCGGTTACTGCCTTCAGACGTGATACATGGACCACTGGGTAGAGCCTATATCCACTCTTGTCGGGTAAATCCAATTCATAGACGAATTCTTCCACCTTCTTCTTCACCCTGAATGGTCCATGCCATCGGTGGGCTAACTTCTTGGTCAGGCCCGACTTGACTCGCTCCATAAACAACCAGACTTGATCACCTTCTTTGAACAAGGATTTGGTGGGTTCATCGCCTGGTTCTGCAACTTCATCTTCGTCATCTGCTGTGTTGGGAATGGATCTTTTCTCCTTCTTGCTCAACGCTTCGTTGTGCTCTCGAGCTCGTCGTGCTTTCTCTCGCACTTGGAACTGAGCTGCTAATCGAAGTGCCACTTCTCGTTGTCTGTTCGCTTCTCGGCGCCACTCGACTGCGTCCGCCGAGTTGACTGGGCGTCCCTGTCCACGTCGTAGTGAACTCGTCATAGCCTTGAGTGTAGACTTGACGTCCCAACCATGTACCAGATAGAAAGAGGTTTCTCGCCGAGTCGAATCTCTTGAGTTGTTGATAGCGTGTACCATCTTCTCGGCGATGTCATCGCAGTCGGCTTGAAGTGGGTCTTCCACGTAGACCCGTATAGTCTGAACTATTGTCTTGACTGACCTCTCTTGCTGACCGTTGGCTTGTGGTCGGTAACTCAGCGTAGCTCTTGATCTCGACTGCATCATCTCGGAGAACTTTTGGAATACCTCACTCATAAACCTCGGATTTCGGTCGTGCCGTATCAGAGACGGAGCCCCGAACTGCCTGAAGACACATTCCTCAAATACCTTGGCCACGTCGAGTGCTCCGGTGTCATTCATAGCCTTAGCGATAACAAATCCCGTGAAGTGGTCCTAGATCTCCACGGGCTTCGCTTCTAACGGGGGGGGGGGAAGGGGCTTCCCCCTGGTTCCTAGTCCTTCATTGGACCGCCCAAGAGCGCTCATGCTTTCCCACTCCTTTCCCTTCTCCCTTCGCGATCCACTGGCAAGACTCCTTCCCACGCTTGTGCTCCTACGATATTCGGCTAGAAGATACCCTGCTTCACCACCAATTTGTCGCGGTCTTCCTCTAATCAGTGTCGTGTATCTTGGGCCGACGTAGGAGGTAGTAGTATTAGCGACGCTTCAAAAGCAATATAAACGCTGATGTATTCTTGTGTTCTTTGTTAGAAGGAAAATCCACGACTGAAGTCCTCACTCAACCCCGCAGAGAGTAAAAAGCTTCTTACCTTTCTGCAGGTCTCTCGCAGGTGGCGGTCCAAGAAAGTTTTCGCCACAATCAGCAACTCACAGTTCCCCTTTTACTTGGGACGTCACTGATTTTGCCGTAGGTCCCACTTGCTTGGACTGGCGTGACGAGTCTGGAGCAGGCAGACCTTCTGAATGCAGTCAGCCAGAATAGCGGGTCCTCCATCTAACTGTACACCGTGACAGGAGTGATCAAGGAATTGCGGATTCATCCTTGCCATGATTCAACGGCTTTAGCCTTAATAATAGTCTGTGGTACTTGCTCACGAAACGGCTCACGCCTGGGCACCATCAGGATTCCCGATTATGGCATGGCCTTGTCAATAATTTCCTTTGATTTCATAAATATATTTATTTCTTTGACCTCACGGATGCAATACAGTAGATAATTTATCTGCTAAAGTACGAATCTACCATAAATTGTTTTTCCAAACCACGGCATTTTCATTGAAATTTACTCGCAATCGCTAAGTATCCCGAGTTGCTGAAATACTCACTCTTTATTTCGGACCAAGTAGGCAAAATGGTGTTATTACTGCACGGAAACGGTGTGATTACGTCTCGGTCCGAGTATTGTACAGTCCGTACCGGTACTGTACCTGTTTTAAAAATCCTCACAAAAGCGGCCCGTCTGAACATCTTCCAGTATCAGTCAAGCAGGCCAAAAAGCCCGACCCGCCACAAACCCGCGCGTTTGCTGAGAGTGAGTGTCGCACCTCCCCCTGCGCTTGTTTCGCATCGGCCTTGTAGTCGGCAAGTCTCGAGCCTTCAGCCGTGCCTAGGCTAGTGCTGTCCCCACAGCCGCAAGACGACACCTCGACGTCCATGGCCGCGTCTTGCTGCAGCAAGACGCCGGCCAGCGAACTGCTGGCCAAGCCAGCGTTGGGGCTACCTCCCCGCCCTACCACAGCCAGCGTAAATCCTGTCAAATCCACTGCGACCGTCACGCGCGCACGTACCCAAAGTCTCCCAACTGTCGGTGAGCACTTTCTGGGCAAGGACAGCCCGTGGATGCAGCAGGCCGTAGACCGCGGGCTTTTCCGCCGCTTTGAGGAGGTCAGCAACGAAGTCTCGAGACTGAGACGCATCCAGAACATGGACGTCTTCTCCTCCGATGCGGGCGATGTGGCTGAACCTCATCCAGAGCTCGCACAAGTGCAGACAGAGCTCAGCCGTGCGAGACGCCGCTCCGTCCGCATCCGCGAGGACCAAAAACACATGATTCAACAGCTCGAGGCCCAGCAGGACCGAGGGGTGATCAAGAAATATCTGGCTATGGCCACAGGCTCTGCTGGTAACCAGAAGAGAAAGACTGAGGAACTCAAGAAGAAACTGGGCCACCACATGGCTGAGGCTATGCGTGCAGACGCCGATCTCCAGAGGCTCGAGCGACGCTCCAGTTCCCTTGTGGACGACTGGAAGCGCCGCTCGTCGTTCTCTAGTAGTCGCAGCTACTCCGTCCAACCCGAGGGCGAGGAAGACGTGGAGAGGCGTGAGGAAGACGACGTGTGCTTTGATGACGATGACGACCTGGACGTCGCTGAGAGGCTGGAGCAGCTCGAGAGGGAGAAGCAGAGACTACTGGGTCTCTTGCTCCGGGCACTGCGGCTCCCAGACGCTCTGCAGATGCACACAAATGTAGCCATGTACGCCTCCGAGGTGCAGTCCTGTGAGTCCATTGAGAAGCAGCTTGACCGCGCCACGGGGCTCTATCACCAAGCTCTGCAGCTGCTGCGTATGGCCATGGCCACTGTCGTGTCCTCTCAGTACTCAGGATCTGTCAAGGATTTTGCCAACGGCCCGTTCGCTCTCACAGTCGAGGCTGGTCAGCTCATGGAGGCTGCAAACATCGGCATCCAGCCTGAAGCTCATCGTAGATATCGCCAATTCGCCTCCGAGCTTCAGAATTTGCGACTCCCCAAGTTTCCCCAGATCGTCAGCGACTATGTGCGTCGTGCACGAACCAATTTCGACCCTCGCAGTGCATTGGCTCGAGAAGCTGTGAGGAGGCTCCCAGCGTGTGAAAACACTATGGTGATGACGCACAAAATCGTGATCGAGAAGCTGGAGCTGCTGGGCCGGTGGAAACGCACAGTGGAGCAGGACCAGACGCACGCTGAGGTCTCGCAGCGTCGTCTAGAGACGCATCTACAACAACGTTTGGCAGTTTTGGCTCGGTCCGTCTCGGTCTGAAGTCAGCTCACTTCACGTGAAACGACGCATGCAACAAGATTCTGGATGCGATGTCTTAAGAGGGAGGGAGATTCAGGAATCAAAATGCTCTCACATCTGTTTAGTCGCCCGTACGCATAAATTATGATCAACTTATTTTGAAGGTAAACCTATAGGAATAGATTCCTACCTTCAAAATAAGCTGCTAATGATTTACGCGTACGGGCGATGAGAGAGCACTTTTTGAAATGCTCTCGCGGCTTTAAAAGTCTCGCGTGGCACAAACCTGCTCAGAGCGCTTAGGCCCTTGTTCGGGTCGGACAATTACCTATTTGAAATCTCATACTAGCATATGTACTTCATACTACTACCGTCTTACCCCGCACAAAGCGCCAAGGCGTACTACATGTACTACCTCCGCTCGGAAAAAGATAACCATTTGTTTTTTTTTGCGCAGCGCTCCGCCTCGTTCATTTGAGCGTTTATTAATTTGTGAGAGGCTGGCTAGCTAGCTTTATGACCGAGAGCTGACAGTGAGAAACTAAGCAAGGCACAGGCGTTCATGCTCCGCCGTGCAACTACAGATAAAAAAACGGATCTAAGACGGCAACTACATCGCCACATTCTGAAGGGGCGCTCAGTGGGGCTTCTGGAACTTTAGCGGTAGGCGGTGGGGTGCTGCTCGCTGCAAGAAGCAGCATGTACGCGTTAGCATTGGCAAGTGAGATAGCGTCACAAGGCAGTGACGTAGGGAGAGTGCCAGCTCGTACTTGCTTGTCCTTGTGCCGGAGGCGCGCCAACTTGTGCGTGCGTGTAAGTAGTGGACGGGTCAGCGCACGCCGTATGTAGCCTTCCTTGATCAGCTGCTGAACCAGGTAGCAGCTCATGTTGGACGCGCGCTGAAGCAGACGCTGGTTTTCGCGCTCATTGACAGGAACTGCAGCGATTCTCTCGCCCAGCGCAGCTCGATCCACCTTCTTCCTACCACATGCGCTCTTCCTTGACTTGACCACGGCTGCTACTCGATCTCCCATCGATTTGATTCCACGCCTCCAAATTCGTTCGTCAACTTGGCGGCCCACACGGAAGTACGCTGCAGCCCAAATGATCTCTCCATGCTTGAGCACTCCTCCTACGCTGCGAAGCAGTAAGGTCTCCCGAACGGCCTGGCGCTCACTGTCTGTGATCTCCCCCAGGTGCCAGCTTTCAAAATGAAAGCAGTCTGGTCGGGGAAGCGCGGGAGATTCGAAATCCAAAAGTGATCGGCATAGAGGGGGTATTGTTTTTGGGTAGGCTGTAATATAATTTTGAAATGGTTATCTTTTTCAGAGCGGAGGTAGTAAAAAAGATTATGATGTGGTTTAGAGCAGTGTGTAGCCTCGATTACAACGTAAGGTAGAATCCAAGGACACACCGCGGGAAGGGCTCTATTAAATTAATGAACTCTAAGCCAATGCTTTTAGAACGACTCTAATGCATATAGAAATCTACTCTCCGCCAATTCTTTTATTGTAGTTGAGACCATCAGCGCTCAGCTGCTCATTCTAAAAATATCTGAGTAGCTTTGACATATCTTTTGTGTGCGGGGCATTACATGTACCGCTTCCCTGATGGGTCCTCAATTGACACAACTGTCGTACACTACCTCCAGGGTCGGGTAGTCCGCGGCTGTTCAGGGAGTACGGTCTCAAGTAGTGGCAGGAGCGGTAGCACAAGATGACTTAATATACCTAAAAGCTTCTTGTTTCTTTCTCTCACTCAGCTTAGGCAAGAGGTAGTAAATGTAAGACTGAGACTAATGAACGAGGGCCTACCGCGAACTCGCTTTCCTATACACGACACCGCTTCAGTTTATCTTGATCAAAATAGTCCTTCTCCATGACATCCGTCCTCGTGCGGCGACAGGAAGGTCCGAGACGCGGTCCACCTTGCGCATCCGGCCCTGTCCCCAGCCACGTAAGACAATAGAAGGGAACTCACACACCGTTCCTGTACTTCATCGTAGCGTTCCAATACAATCACACCATAACTTCACCGGTCTCATGTGCGAAGTGAGAGGGAGCTTGCGGGGTCAACGTGAACCAGTAGCCCGCCGTCGCAGCTCGTTGACCTTCGCCGAGATTCCTTGGCACAAAAGCCTGCCCGCCAGCGCCTGGCACGACACCTACATTCCCAGGTACGGGACATACTCCCGTGTGGTGTAGTGATTTCTCCGTAGTTGCGGATTATCACCCGTCGACAAAGACGTGACACCGCCCAAGATGTTCAAGCGACGGACCCTCGGTCATGTGATGTACGGATACGCCAAGGTGCAAGGGACTCCACGGCATCACTTCCGAACTTTCAACGAGTATTGGATACGGCCCATATGTCACAGAATCCAGGCTGTCCTTATTATTAATAATTGACTGGCCGGATTCGCATTCAACGGACCATCTACGGTACGAACCCTCAGTGGCGGTTGGGATGAGTTCGCGGAAGACTCAGCGACCCTTGGAAGGCACGTTCACCGTCTATGACAGGGCGCGGACCGTTAAAGATGCTCATGCGACGGTGCAGACGACGCTTGGCATGCAAGAAGATCCATAACGGATCATTGTTCACTTGATATTTGTATACTTGATTAGGACTTCTTATTAGGAATAGACCCGAAAGGATAAGCTTAAATACAGAACAGAATTTCCACTCAAGCACACAGAGCGACGTCCGGCTTCAAGGTAAGCGTCAGGTCAAGCTTGTTTGAGTGTGTTATGCCTGTCGGTGAACTCGAAGCTCTGTAGCGAGGGTTCATCCGGCAAGGCCAAGAGACTTTGTGTATTGGCCGATTATTATCGGGAGGTTTTTACGTGACGGCTTATTATTGCCTATTTGCACGACTGGGAGTGCTTGAATTGCCTCCCTTTTATTCTTCCAGCCGAGTGTTGAACAATCGGTGATCTCGTAAAAGGCTTACCCGTGCCTGGCACCCTTCCGCTGTTGGGACCACGAGGATTCAAAACACCTGCTAGCTTTGCTCGTGCTAGTAGCGTGTTCTTAGTTTTACGGGTTGGCCTATATAAGTAGTTTACAAGGTCCAGTTTGTCCCGGTGCAAGGGCAGAACTGGGGTCTTCAGGTCCGCCCGAGCGATCGTTTACTATCCTAGTAGACGTATTGTTGTGGGAACGTCCTAGCTACATTTGTAGCTAGAGTTCACGTGGAATTTTCAACATGCCGCGACCCGGGAACAGATTGTGACCATTGTGAACTGTTTGTATGGCCTTCCAGTTTACGAGCTACCAAGAGAAGAAGAACAAGAAAAAGACAAGAAACATGGCGAAAGGACAACCGATGGTACCAGTTACGCCTGCCAAGTCTGGCGGGGCTCGCAACGAGAGTTCAAGCCCGGCTGCGCGCTTTGCAGCCGCCACCGAGCTTTCAGTGAGCTTCGACGACGAAGCGGACATCGGTCCTGACGCCCACGATTATGAAGATTACGAAGACAAGACGCCGGCTCCAGAGCCAGGCGCAGCGACGCCGGAGACGGCCACTGTAGTGGGCCACGCCATTACATAAGTAGGTAGATTTATATTACAAAAGTAGGTGCAGCAGCACACGGCTAGCGTGTGCTGAACTGCCGTCATCCTATTGGTTGATATATGGGGAGCCAGACCCATTATCAGCCAATAAGGGTTTGACGTGTATTTGAGTGGTCAGGGCAAGCTGCCCTGGACCTAAATAAAAACAGAGTTGATTTTCCTTCAGACTAAGCACTTGGTTTCACTATCGCGGAACTTGCACGCTTCCTCATTATTACGTGTAAGCTAGTAACGGACACTCTAGGCCCGTTACACCTGGTAGCACTTTGTAGTCCTTCCCATGACCAAGTTCACAATGAGCCAAGGCCAGACGTCTGAAGCTTCAGGGTCAACCCTGGAGCATGCTGCTTTCCCTCATCTCACTTGTGTCGAGTGGGAAGCCTTTTACCGCCTTGCGGCGGTGTCCGGTGAGGCTGTTGTCGCGTCGCTGCTGAGCTCAGCGACTCCCGATCAACAACGTCAAGCAGCTCAAGAGTTCATGGAACGCGAGCTTGCCGACACGAATCGGCGAGCGACAACTCCCTCGCGTTCCTCGAGGAATGACATCGTCAAGTTGGAAACGTCAACCTACTCCGGTGAAGGAGCGAATCGCCTTCCGTTGAATCGCTGGTTTCGCGAAGTCGACATCGCTATCGCCTCGAGGATGATCGAGGCGCAAGGAGCGAAAGTTAACTTCTTACTTTCCCGACTGGCCGGGAAAGCCAAGGAGTGGGCACTCGGCAAACTGGTCGTAAACAACGATGCGTTCTCCACCCTGGAGGCCCTCCAGAGTGATCTTCGTCTCGCCTTCGAGCCTCCACAAGACGAGTCCCGAGTGCGCGCAGAGTTCTTCGCTCTGCGACAAAGCAAGATGACCATGCGCGACTACGTCCAGAAGACACGCCACCTCGCGTCCTGCATCGTCACCAATCCGATTGACATGGCATCTCAAGTCCACGTCTTCGTGTTCGGCATGCGTGAAGGCATGACGCGATACTGTCTGACTCGAGCGGAACCCTCCTCACTCGAGGAGGCATTTGCTCTCGCACTTCGTGAAGACTACGTGGTGGCGGCGTCGTACGCGCGGGCAATGTCCGCGGAAGCTCAAGCGTCAGCTCCGGAGCCGATGGAGATCGACGCGATTGACGCGTCGAACAACCGCCGTCGTGCAGTCCCTCGCGCGAATGGTTGTCGTCCCAGTCGATCCCTCACTTGCTTCCGCTGTCGGAAGGTTGGACATCGCGCGGCTGAGTGCCGCGCGCCCGCGCCAGTGCTCACGCATACTGTCAATGCCTCTCCTACCGATCAGCCAAAACACGGTCAGGGACAGTAGGTGCGGGGCGCCCTACTGGCTGGAATGGAGGTCCGGGTCCCCCGGTGGCAACCCAACCTTCTAGCCCTCGCGTGCTACACGCACACTTCAATGCCACCACAGCGTCGGGCGACTCAAGACTGATCATCATCAGCCTCCATGTCGCCGGCGCCCGACGTCCACTACGCGCGCTTGTGGACTCAGGAGCGACAAACAACTTCTTCCGTGAGTCGTGTTTGTCGACGCTACCCAGCGAAATCGCTGTCCGCAACGGTCGCGGACAGGTTG